GCAGCAGCCGCCGCCGCAGCAACAGCAGTAACCTCAGCAGTGTCTTTCAACACCAGCAGCAACAACAGCAGCAAAAGCAGCAGCAAAGGGTCTGTGGATGAGCACTCATGTTTCGCTGTTCGGTTCGTTCTTTCCTGTCTGCTGCTGTTGCTGCCTGCTGTTCTACTGCTGTCACCCCTCTTGCTGCTGCTGCTGCTGCTGCTGCGTTGATCTTTGCTTCTCCGTTGCTGCTGCTGCGGCTACAGGTCTGACTTCAAAGCTGCGCCCTGTTCTCGATTTATGAGAGGAAGATGCCACGCCGGCATAAATTGCAAATACGCGGTAATTGTGCATCTGCTGCTGCTGCTGCTGCTGCTGCAGCACTTCGTGGTGTCCCTGCTGCTCCCGCTTTTTGCTGTGCCTGCTGCTCCCGCTTTTTGCTGCTGCTGCTTCTACTGATTCGATGCTGCAGCTGCTCCTTGAGCAGCTGCAGGAGCACACGCCTGCCCCGCCCTTACAGGCCAGCTGCTGCTGCTGCTGCTGTTGCTGCTGCAGCATTCTGCGGCGGAACTCCGACCGCTGCCTCAAGATGACACAGGGCCCCTCCCTCCAGGGCCTAAGGGCAGCAAAGGGGGGCCCCTTGGGGGCCCCCAACGCGCCGGTCAGAGGAGTGTGAGAGAGAGCCCTTTTTTTCAGCAGCAGCAGTTGCTGCTGCAGCAGCAGCAGCAACAGAAGAAATATGCAGCTGCTACGCAGCGCCTAGGGTTCGCTGGCGGTATCCCTGCCCCGGGCAGCAGCAGCAGCAAGTGCGGCGGTGGGGGGAGCAGCAGCAGCAGCAAAAGCAGCGGCTGCAGCAGCACGAGTGTGAGCAGCACCCCGAGTAGCAACAGCAGCAGCGGCTACAGGAGCAGCAGCGGCGTTGCAGCAGCAGAACTGGCCCATTCCAGGATGCAGCAGCAGCTGCTGCGAGACTGTGAGGCTCTTCTTAACTGCATGGGCTTAGCTGCTGCTGCAGCAGCCCCGGGGGGCCCCCCCATGCTTGATCTGTACAGGGCCCGGGGGGCCCTCGAGGGGCCCCCAACTCTCCCATTACATTCCAGACAGGGATTGGGTCCCAGGAGGGGCCCCCCGCCACGGCCTACGCAGAGCCGGCGCTCTGCGTTTGCGCTGGAGCAGCAGCTGCAGCAGCAGCAGCAGCAGCTGCAGCAGCAGCAGCTCCAGCAACAGCAGCTGCAGCAGCAGCAGCTCCAGCAACAACAGCTGCAGCAGCAGCTGCAGCAGCAACAGCAGCAGCTGCAACAGCAGCAGCTGCAACAGTTCCTCATTCAGCAGCAGCACCGCCAGGAAGAGCTGCTGCAGCAGGAGCTGCAGGAGCAGCTGCAGCAGCAGCGACAGCAGCAGCAGCGGCAGCAGCAGCAGCCGCCGCCGCCGGAGACCGACCTTGGAATAGAGGGTCTCCTGGC